TAAAATGTATACTTCAATTATACACAGATCAGAAAGGATAAATACAAAAAATCGCTACAATACGGAAATAATAATAAAAGAATAATGTCATTGGGGAAATTTAAAGTGATGCACCAACTTGCCGATCAATTAATTTTTCTAGTATTGCAACATATGGTGTGTATGTTACCGGCCTGTTCATTAACACCTAATGTTTGGTATGTGTTACCATCTATCATAAAAAAAAGAAATAGAGCCATAATAATAAATAATAATGTTACGTTGCATCAATTCAATTCATTGATTTGGACCTCGAATTTATGATTGGATTACAAATATTTGGGATGATCTTTGAATTGTCTTGTTGAATATCTACTATGAGATGTATGAACGTATCACATTTAGTCACATATTATTTTGGTTTCTTAACCGACTTAGGATTGTTATTTATTTTATTTTTTTGAAATAAACCAACTTAGTATTATAACTGTACGTTCGAAAACTCATCATATTTCCAACAATAACTTTAGTGGATCAAATCAGCCAGAGTTTTTTGGGTCGACTTAAAATGCAAAACTGGCCTAGCTATTTGGGAAAATATCACAAATAGGCTCAAAAGGGAAAGACATATCACTTTTATCACCGTTTAATTTTTCTTTCAAAATTAGATTAGATAACTTTTTCTTTTCATAAATGGACCATCTGTCCGTATACCCATCCACTGGAACCCAAGCGCACATCGACATCCTTGATTATCCCTTTGATTAGATAATACAAGTACTCCGTATGACTCAAACTAATCTCCAGCTCCCATGTTCACTTAATTTTGTTTTTTTTTATAGAAAAAATTGTACAACTGTAGGGAAATTAAAGAAAAAGTCGAAAATAAATTTAAAATAATAGGGAGTAAGTTTTGTAATGTTATTTTTAGAAGCGTTTTGTACTCCATAATTTACTAAATGAAATTTAAAAAAAAAATGAATAAAGCAAAATAAATAAATATATAATCATAAAAAGGTAAAAAACATAAGCATGCTCAAAAATAAAAATAAAAATGGAAATTAAACTTCTTTATCATAAAAGAGCGATTGTTATATTAAAATCGAGAACACAAACAAGAAAATCTTCACACATTATTTACAGATTCCATCGTGAACTCTAGGAGAAGACTAAAAGTCACCCACCGCATACAAAGCTGCATGACTCGGAAAATGACCGGAAACGACTCTGCCTATCAAAAGAACTCCAAACTCCAACATTCAAACCAAATCTACTCGGACTAAATTTGCTAAATTACACTTTAGAAATGAGATTCTGAAAGTTTCACAAAGTAAAAGAAAAAAAATTAAAATATTAAAAAACATGAAAACGGTTTAAAAAAGTTAGAACGAGTGAAAGTTTTAGAATAAAAACTAGTTAAAATAATAAAAATTCAAATAAATATATAAAAGTGTAAAAAATGAGCAAATAAACAATTTAAATTAAAACTTATAGAAAAAAATACATTACATATTTTTTCTTGTAAAATATATATAATAAAATTATGAAAATATAAGAAAATTAATGTAACTCCAAAGTGTGTAAATTTAAAATAAACTCAAACAATTAAAATATCAAAAATTAAAACGATGAACTAAAAAAATAATTACATATTCAACAAAAATAAAAATACGGATTTTTTAATGTAATTTTTCTTTAAGCACGTAAAATTTTTAATTATTAGTATTATCACTTTACTGTTAGTTTTTGTTTCTTACAATTTCTTTGTGTTTCTTTTTGTTGATAATTCTGAAATTTTTGAGCTTTATGAGATTATGAATTTAAAGAATTTGAATTATGAGATTTAAGAACATAAAAAAATCTCAAATTTATATATAAAGTTTAAAAGAATTTAGAAAATTTAAAATTATTTTAAAAATACAATAAATATAGAAAATAATATTCCTTGAATTTTTAAAAATTAGAAAACTATAATAAATTATAATTATAGGCATGTAAAAAATAAAAATGCAGAACATATAAAGTATTGTTATTAGATTATTAACATTTAAATATTACTTTTGTTTTGTTGCATTTTGTTTCTTTTTGTTTCTCTGTGTTGATAACCTTAATTATTTTTGTTTTTTATTGTTTCTTCATGTTTCTTTGTGCTTATTCATAAATCCAATTTTATTATTTCAAATGTTTTTGCATATAACATATATGATTTTCATTCCAAGTTATTAATGAAAATAAATATAAATGTATATATATAGCAAAAAAATATCAAAATCAATAATAAAGAATAATAAGCAAAATGAGACAGCAAAATGCAACACAATACAACCAAATGCAACACAATGCAACAAAAAGCAACACATGTGGTGCAACAAAGAGAAACAAAGACAAGATATAAACATTAAACAAAATATGTACAATTAAGTTTTGTTATTATAATATACAATATTACATTTATCTATTACATTTATCAGTTTTGGTTTTCCCCGCTTTAACACACAGTTTATCATATTTGCCTCTTCTATCTTTATTTCCCATGTCAATCTTCCCATCCATACATGTTCCTGTACTTCTTTTTTATTATGTGCCTGCAATGGGGGAATGCAATCACTATGACACAAATTCCAAATAAATTATTCAAATAAATAACAAATGCACAAAAGACATTCAAAACCAGAAGGTAACAAAAGAATGAAATTGAACATTAATTCAATCAATATGTGAATAACTAATTCAGAGGCATAAATAAGATTTTCTACTCTTAATCTTTGAAACCAAATGATGTATGAATCATTAAAAGTAGAGAACTCCATATATCAATTTCTGTAGAATACATCACTTTCTAGACCAAATAACAGGACCAAATAACATCCAAAAATAGCAGTTGGCTCTAATTCTTAGCTGAATAATGATGCTTACAAGAATTGAAAATCGCAAAAGGAATGCTTATAACATATGATCTTATAACATTTCAAACACAATAACAACACCAAAACCTTAATCCGACATAAATTGGGTCAGCTGTAAAAGGTCAGTGGTGACTAATCAAATATCATCCTTTGAGCTCTAATTAAATCTCTATACTCAGACAGTCAGTGTTAGACACTGCTTATATCAGTCATGTACATCATTTGACACCGAACAAAAATTAAATCCAACCGTAAACAAATTGTGATTTTTAAAACAATTGATCTCAAATGAAGATGTATTCGAAAATGAATTAAAAAGCAAACTAAGAATGATTAACCTAAGAGACTTCATCTTGAGGTTTCCATAAAAAAAGTTCAATTGCCGCTGATGACACATGAGCCACATACAAACAACGCATCATCAATTTCATAGAAACATCAAATCCGTTTCAAATAACAAAAGTATATGTAAACATATCCACATAAATAAATTATGGATAAACAAATACAATCAATTATACTTGTAAGTTAGCTACCAAATAGATTTAAGTGAAAGTAAAATTATGAAAATCTCAAACAAATACCTGCAAATCAGAAAACAGCAGGTCAGGCCGCGATCCAACATGTAGGAGAGAAGATGAGCAATCAGGGATGACGGGCGGAGTGCGGAGCCGCAGAGGACGGCGGATTGCCGAGCCACCGAGGAAGAATGGCGGAGTGCGAAGCCACATAGGACGAACGGCGGAGCCACAAAGGACGAACGACGGAGTGAGGAGCCGCAGAGGACGAACGACACAGTACGGAAGGCGGAGCAGCGAAGGCCGAGGTAGAAGACGGCGCTGGGAAGAAAGAGCCTGAACAACCGCACACGCCACAGTTCTTCGGTTCGGTCATTGTGAGGAAGGACGGGAAGATATGAGGCTAATCGTGCTATCAACAGGGATTAGGTTATTTTTGAAACATAAAAGTTAAATTTGAAAAGCTAAAAGTTTATAAATGAAAAGTAAATTATGAGGAGACATAATTGAAATGCGATTAGAAAAATTAGACCTGACCGGATATTTCCACTAGCTATTTTACCCACGCAAAGTCAGTTTCCAGATTATTATTAATTACTCCGTAATGATCGTTAAAAACCGCAAGATGACTATTATTCGTGTGAAATGTATTTTTATATGATCTGATATATCTTATGTTTGGTCAAACAAATCATAAGAACTTTCGATTACAAAATAAAGAGTTTTCTAACGATTCGAGGCAGTTGCAAATATGTATGGTTTCTGTATTTTCATGCCACATATTGTTTGTTTTGACTTTTAACTGAGTAACACACGGAGTAATTGATAATATCACCTGTCTTCATCATATTAAATACATAAATTGATTCGGAGGTCAAATGTTGAATAATGGCCTGGTATGTGTACTTAATAACTACCTTTCGAATAACGAAAAATTAGGTCATGGTTTACACTTTACCGGCCACTATCCTTGAAAATTTAGGGTTTTAATAGAGTGAAGTGAACTCAATTGACCCATAGGACCTATAGGTGGAGTCAGGTGCACGTACACATATACTTCTAGGGTTTGTAAACTGAAAATTTCATTGATGATTAATTAAAAGTACGTTTAAAAGAAAGTTAGGTTCTTAAAGTTTGGTGGGGAAAGTTCTTTTTGATAAGGCGAAAGCCTCTCCCGAATGGATTTTGCATTGGTAAACTGCACTGGAGTTAAAATTACTTGCTAGATATTTTGAATTAATATTAATAACGTCACACAGGTTTCAAATTTCGTGTAGTGTTAATTCTTTAAACTCTTATAAGCAATCTTCTAGCACAGTTCTCAAAACTGCAATTGAATAAGGGCAGATTAATAATTAAGTCATAATATTGTGGGTAAATGAAATTATTCCGCACAATATTTACCCCTAAACTTGACTACTTGAGTATTTAGGGTGGGCAAACTTAACTTTCTTTGAATGCGGTTAAAATAAAATTTGGTTTTTGAATATTTTGGGCGGAGACTTTCCTAATCAATTTGAGGCGGAATTAAGGGAGTATTTAACTAAGGTCACTACGTATAAATGGCGTGTAGTGAAAATTTTAAGCAAATGATATATTAATGTGATCTGCAAACTACAAAAATATAGTTACCCGATAACACGGAAGGCTGGGTCTCTCTCTAGATTACGCTGCCGTCTAGGGTTTCCCTAGGGGTGTCTAGGCGTTTTGCCTAGGGCTTTGTCCTGTGGCGGTTCTCCGACCGCGGCACCGGTTTTTTGTTTGGATTTTCTGCTTTTGGATTTGGATTTTTGAGGGTGGTGGAGCAGATTCCTTCTGAGCCAAATTGGTAATTCGGCTTTGGGAAGGGTTTCGATCGCAAGGAGGGTCTGGTTCGATGGATATGGTGCTGAGACGAGCGGCGGCTGATTCGAGGCGGCTGGATTGAATTAGACTTGAGCTGCGGCAAGGGGCTGGCAGAAGGTTCAAGCAACATTTTTGCATGGAAAGCTTCGTGGACAAGTACAAGACGATGAGGAATGGGATAGAGGAAGAGGAACTGGATCTAGATGATGTTGATGTAGTTGAGGTTGTGGCGGATGAATGGAGGGCGCGTCCCCCTCCTGTGCCGCCGCCATGAAGTGCAAGCAAATCTAGGGTTTGGAAGAAAATAGACGAAATCTATTTTAATTCCATTTTATTCAGTTTGTGTTTTTCTGTCGAATCGCATGTTGTGGTGGACGTGTTCTTTTTTTTCTAGCTGAGATATTCTTGAGTTTAGGTTAGGTGATGAGAAGTCCGGTTTGCCAGTCATTGGATCAGTTAAGCCCATTACAGGATCAGCGAATGTTATTGCTTCTACGGAGGTGATAAATTCTCAGTCTGGTTCGGGACGGCAAATAGAAGGCTTTTTATCATTTTGTTTTCTTGTTTCTCTTTGATTGTATTATCAGTCATGTGACGAACGTTATTTTTTATTTAATATATTAATTGGACTACTTCATTCAAAAAAATGTGATCTGCAGATTGCTGATGATATAAAGCCAAATCCGATGGTGATTAGTGTGCTAAACCAACTCTGCAAAGTCATCCCGACGTGGAAACTTATCCCAACCCAAGATATTATTGAAGCTGCCTTTAGAGACCCAAATGTTAGGATTGAGGTATATACATATAACAGTCCCATAATCCTGACTTTTCTTTTCATTCCCTTCTACGTATACGGAGTATGTAGTACTACTTATATTTATTTATGTTGATCACGGTCATCGAGAGAATTCCGAAACAACGGGGGTTTTGAACATATGAGACAAAACCACGGGAGTTCACTTTCGCGTACAAAAAGACGGGATTCGGAAATGCCTCTTCCGAATAGCAAAAAAATAATAGCATGATTCGGAGTGATCTGACAACCAATGCCCCACCCTCCCATACTACTACAATTAGTTCTACTAGTTCTTAATACTCCAATAAAACTCCGTACTCCGTAATAATAATAAAATAACACGGAATAGATGAATAGTGAGCTAAAGGGTCAAAGACCCAAAGTGTTCAATTAGCCCGGAATAAAACTCCGCCCTTAAACTAGCTTAAAGTGTTCAATTAGGCTCATATATAGGAGGTCCAGCCCGACCATCGCCAATTATGGAGGTTCCTAGTGGAAGTTTTGATGAAATTTTTCGAGCTTCTTCTTCATTAAGTCTAGTTTACACATACCAAATTTCAGCTAAAAATTCAACCGGGAGGTCCAGCCCGACCATCGCCAATGATAACTGCGCAGTTAAATAGCGCAGTACATTTAGAAAAATCATTTGACTGCCTTCCCGATTTAATTTTTAGCTGAAATTTGATATGAGTAAACTAGACTTAACGAAGAAGATGCTCAAAAAATGAGAGAATTCCGAAACAACCGGGGTTTTGAACATGCAAGACAAAACCACGGGAGTTCACTTTCGCGTGCAAAAAGACGAGATTCGGAAATGCCTCTTCCGAATAGCAAAAAATTAATACTCCCTCCGTTCTTTATTATTAGTCCTTCTTTCCTTTTTGGGACGTTTTTTTTTATCTGTCCTCCTTTCCATTTAAGGAAAGTTTTTACTTTAAATATACCTTTATACCCTCACTTTTATTACCATTACCCCTTTCTCTTTTCTACTTTTTCATTTACCCACTACTCATTACACCTTTTACACTACCCCTACTATTTTACTCTTAAAACCCGTGTCAAAGCCTAAGGAGACTAATAAAAAAGAACGGAGGGAGTAGCATGAGGGAGTAGCATGATTCGGAGTGATCTGACAACCAATGCCCCACCCTCCCATACTACTACAATTAGTTCTACTAGTTCTTAATACTCCAATAAAACTCCGTACTCCGTAATAATAATAAAATAACACGGAATAGATGAATAGTCAGCTAAAGGGTCAAAGACCCAAAGTGTTCAATTAGCCCGGAATAAAACTCCGCCCTTAAACTAGCTTTAAGTGTTCAATTAGGCCCTTATATAGGAGGTCCAGCCCGACCATCGCCAATTGGGGAGGTTCCTAGTGGAAGTTTTGATGAAATTTTTCGAGCTTCTTCTTCATTAAGTCTAGTTTACACATACCAAATTTCAGCTAAAAATTCAACCGGGAGGTCCAGCCCGACCATCGCCAATGATTTTTTGAAGATAACTGCGCAGTTAAACAGCGCAGTATATTTAGAAAAATCATTTGACTGCCTTCCCGATTTAATTTTTAGCTGAAATTTGATATGGGTAAACTAGACTTAACGAAGAAGATGCTCAAAAAAATTCATCAAAAAAATCCACCGAGAACCTCCCCAATTGGCGATGGCCGGGCTGGACTTCCTATATAAGGGGCTAATTGAACATTTTAATCTAGTTCAAGGGCCTATTTGACTCTTTAGCGATTAATAGTCTGTATGACTCAATCACATGCATAGAATAAAAAGTTGGCGAGTGCCTTTCCAACATGAATGCAATTTTATTGCCACATTCCATTTCATTTTTATTTAAACTATTCTAACTTTTTTATTTATTATTCAGTTTTTATTAAAAAAATATCAAATCTATTATTTTTTTATAATCTTTCAAATGGTATATATCTATATTATATTTAAAAAAATCAAAATAATAATCTTTTTTAAACATCCATTTTTAGCTGTGTTTTTTTTTGTAATTTTTCATATGCAATATTGATACCATGTGATGGATCATTAAAAATAAAATATATTTTTTTTAAATAAAAATTGGATTAAAAGTGAAAATGTTAAAACAATTTCCAAATAATAAAGAAAATGTAAAAATCAAGTTAGTGTTATTATTAGATTACAATGTCAATGAAAAGCTTCATTTATTAATATAAATTTATTCCACAATCAATTTAAAAAACACGACAGAAAAAAAGGTCTTAATAGACGTCTTAATGGCGAGGACTGTAATTATACGGCTTAATGATTAAGTCGGTCTTTTGACTGAATGATTATGTCACATTTCCAATTATATGGTAAGTAAACATGACTTGTTGACGGAATGAATAAGTCATAAAAGTAACTCCACAATTACTTGCTTTTATTATACTACACAATACAACGCGTCAAATAAAATATTACGTATTTGATGAATAAATTGATTGATAAGGCTCATAAGCCGAAAAATAGTGTCACCCAAAAGTCTAATATAACCAAAAAAATATAAGAGATAAATTTTCTCCGATAAAATTTAATCAAAAAAAAAATCATGAATTAAGATGTCATCATCTCCCCAACATAATTCCCATCTTCCAGGGAAAAAATTTCCCAACAACCTCCAAATAAAAGAGCCTGCAACGAAGGAATAATTGAGGTTTATAAATTAAAAAAGTTCACCTGGAATGGGATATTCCGAATGGGTTTGGTTGAAAAAAATACATTGTTTTCGGAATACAGAATTCCAAATAGGTTTTCCCACTAGTGTACAAACCATCCTGTTTTCTAATTTACTCGGAATCCAACGTCCGGAATAGGTTTCCCGTGTTTTTAGAAAACCTAGAAAAAGTCCCGTTTTTTTTGCACTATCCGCTAGCTTCTCCCGTCTTTTAAGAAAATACCCCACGGTCATCTGCAAGTCCCTTTTGTTTTGCTTAATTTTCAACTCGGAATATATATATATATATATATATATATATATATATATATAGGGAAAAGTTCAAGTAAAAAGTAATCTTCCCATGAAAAGTGAGAACAAATCTTAGTCTTTAATCACTTGTAAATGAATGGATTGGATTAGATTAACTTTAATCACAAGACAGAGAGTCAAGTAACGTGCAAATGTTTATTATACAAAGTGGATATTAAATTACTAAAAGTGCACTCTTGAGTGTTAAAAAAGATTGCCAATTTTTTTGAACTTGTGCACATTTTATGATGTACCGTTGTGCACTTTTGTGCTCTACATATACACTTTTTGCATATTCTTGTACACTTTTTGTATAACATTTTTATTAAAAATTCTTCATAATTACCAAATGGCCACCACGTTTTTCACTTAAAATTTGATCTATTCCATCAATTTTTTCATATCAATGGCCAAGATTAGTTCTTACTTTTCACCTATGAAGTACTTTTTATTTGATCCATACTATATATATATATATGTAAGGTTCAAGTGATCGAGAAGAAACCTTTAATTTAGGTGAGAAGTGAGAATGAATCTCAGCCATTGGATTCGACTAAGTTGCAGTAAAAGACATTTCATGATGCACTTAAATATGCAATCTAGCATGGTTGCATTTCTATAAATACTTCTGAAAAATCCGTATTACACTTGTCTAGTGCAACATGAAGTTATTTCGGTGCAACGCCGTCAAATATTAGTGCAACATGAAACACTTTTAGTGCAACCGTGCAAAATTTAAATATTACTGCAACATAAAGTTATTTTTAGTACAACTTCGTAAATCTAATGACTGAGATTCATTCTCATTTCTCACATTAGATGCATTTCTCACTTGAACCACAATATATATATAGACACACACACAACCAAAATATATAGTTTTATACATATTAGGAAAATAAAGCTATTGGCTTAGTCTCTTTGGCAGTTTAGTTTATCTCAATATTGTAAAAAGCATTATAAAAAGGACCCATCAAATTAAATTTGGTAAAAAGAAATTATATTTCATGTTCTGAGCACTGTTGTTATTATAGATTTAGGGAGAATTCCCGAAATAGGAGTAAATAAGTTTCAAAATTCCAAAATAGGACTGTCATATACGGAGTATGTTTTTATTCCCAAAATAGAAGTAATTACTGTCAAGTTTGGAAAATGGTGTCATGTTTAAAGTCTAGCACTGACAAAACATGACAGTAATTAGCCTATTTTGGGAATAAAAACATGACAATCCTATTTTGGAATATACAAACGTTTTTAGTCCTATTTAGGGTAATTTTCTATGGAATTATGGGTTTGAATTTGGTAGATTCTATGGTACCCAAAAGATACTATACATTTGTCCACATATACCAATCAGAATGTTGCAGTAGAATTATTTAAGTCTAAATTCAAAATGATATACCTATTTTGATCAATCAAGTGAATGATGCGCATGACAAATTGTACTTACGCATGAATTGTAGCCTTTGATTCTTTTCGAAATTTCACATTCTTAATCCCCGTACAAAGTTGAAACAAAAGTTAATTATGGAACGGGAGTACGCGTAGAAGATATGGCCACAAAAGTTATACACAAAAGTTGTACACTTGTCTGTCCAGCGCAAATAAATTGTATGTCTGGAGGTGAGTTGTCGGTGAACAGACAACTCATCTCCGGACAGACAATTTATTTGCGCTGGACAGACAAATGTACAACTTTTGTGTACACCTAGCTTCACTCAAGATAGTATATCTGCTTTATCAAATTTGACTAGACTTTAAGAAAACTAGATCCTAGAAAACAATTCCTAAACTAGAACAAATGCAGTACGTATCTGCTTAAATTAATTAACTCAACTCATTTATGGTTCGACGTAACTGATTACAAAACTAAACGAATACTATCTACGATTTTTCTACCTATACATACATTCCAACAGGACTATTTCGATGAATTAATGATGAATGATGAATGATGAATGATGAATGAGACTAATAAAAACATTCCTTCAGATATAATTATCCTTGTTTATCCTTCCGAAATTCATTAAACCCATGGCATTTAACTATTTAATATAAGTAAGGCATTTCAATATATCATATCAGAAGTATTAATAATTTGGTGGTCATTTTTACGGCAATCATATACTCCTTCCGTCCCATAAAACTTAACCAATTTGACATTTCTTGGTCAATGGTAATAAACTTCGGATCATGATTTTAGTTATTATATTTGTGTGAAATTCATAACTTTTATACTTTTATGAAAGTACTTTTCACAAAAAACATTTTCATATAATTTTCATATTTGAAATAATTGCATATTAAAAATTATCAAGGGTCAAACTTGGCCATCATTAACCAAGAAAAGTCAATATGGTCAAATTTAATGGGATGGAGGGAGTATATTCATATGGATCTGGGCATATTCATGTGCAGATTAGGGCCAACCCGTATTGCTACAAGGGCCGACCGCGCTTGAAAACCGGGAATGAACTCCTCGCTGTTAGCATGGACTTGGAGAAAAGGCTTAATGAGGTATAGTAGGTTCAAGCCGTTCAACTCCCATCCTTAGGATGTTTTTACTTGGACTGTAATTTGCTAGTCTGGACAGGTCTGATTTGACCTGGTCTGGTCTAGTCTGGTAAACGTCTGGTCTCTGTGTATTTTATAACTACGGAAGTCAAGTCTGGTATGTTCTGTTTAAGTCTGGTATGTTCTGTTTAAGTCTGATATGGTCTGATTTGTTTAAGTCTGGTCTGGTCTGGGAGTGAAAACCGTCCAGGTAAAAACATCTTTAGTTACTATACTACAGTATTGAATTCACTTTTATACTACAACCATTGTGAAAGTAGACAAGTAGTAACTTTATTACTACATATATTTTACAAAAATACCACTTGTACACGTCGAATTACATGCCCGTTAACCCGCCAAATATGTTTTTCTGTGCACAAACAATTGAAATTCATTTTAGTAAACTATGTGTGACGACCCTGAAAAGGTGAGTTGTCTGTGCATAAACAGTTTTGAATCACAAACAATTCCATTTACTAAAATGAAAATCAATTGTTTATCCATAGATAAAATAAACAGAGTTTGTAAGCGGACATCTACAAGTAGCATTTTTATTAGTTTTGTTATTTAATTTAAGGAAACGCTTCCGATCGACAGGTGAAGTTGCCATTTATAGTTGCACATGGAGAAGCAGACATCGTAACAGATCCGGCGGTGAGCAAACTCTTGTATGAAACGGCTACAAGCACAGACAAGACCCTTAAGCTGTACCCAGGATTGTGGCATTCTCTTACCTATGGCGAGCTGCCGGAGAATTTGGACGTCGTGTTTTCCGACATCATCGACTGGCTTGATGAAAAGGTGGCCTTGGGCAATGGAAGGCTTGAGAGAGAACTAAAACAAGCTAATGATGATGACATAGTATTCAAACCAGTTGCTGCAAGCTAATTCATGATTCTCATACTATGCATATATTGTTGTATTTGCTTGTATAAAATTGGCCCACACGAACTCATCATTTCATCAACTACTCCGTGCTATACATACTCTAAGGCTAGCCGTAAGGGAAATTTATTAGAATATGAATAAAACTCAATGAATTTCTCAATCTATGACTTAATTAGTCTTTGAATTTTTGTATGATCGAAAATCATGAAAAAAAAAGAAAAATTCGTATCTATTTAAATGTTGAATGACGAAAATACCCTTGTTTAAAATATGTGCATTTTGCACTAATTTCATCTGATTAAAATTACTGCATAACATTACTGCACGAAATTACTGCACTACATTACTGCATATCTATCCGGTATTAATCACTATACTTCTGCCAAAATTGATTTTCTTCTCATTCACTTTACGAAATGATTTAGAGCCCGTTTGGAGAACTCTGTTTTCGGCTTATCAGGCTTATAAGCCAGCTTTTTCACCAAACACGTAACTTTTACTTTCACGCGCTGAATTGTGTAATAAGCCGAAAAAGTAAGGTTGGAGTTACTTTTCTGGCTGTATTGGCTGAAGTTACTGTAGAGGACCATTTTAGCTATTTTTACATATAATTTTTTCTTTAATTTATTAATAAAATATATTTTTAAAATATTTTTTTCTTAAATCAGCAGAATCAGCCAAAACAGCCACTCCAGCCAGAATATCATAAATTTCAGCAGAAACAGCCAAAACAGCCGATTTTGGTGCTACCAAACGGGCTCTTATTGTTTTCATTTTTTTTAGATTTGATATATATTTTTACGTCTAATTAAATATATTGTGTTTCATGGCGAACTTATTGCTCTGTTACCGCACTATCGGTCATAATCACTGCACACCAATTTGCTTAATGCATTCATTCACTACTATGCACAAAATATATTGTCATACTCAACAATGTCTATAATGATTTCATTGCCCATATTCATTGCACATATTTAATGCTCACAAAACCAAATTTTAGAAACACCAACTTTCAAATATTAAAAGCAAAAAATAATAATTGTGGGCCTATGATTCTAGCGGATCCAAAGCAAGTAGCAGTCTGCGCACATGAAAATATCCAAACCTAAATTTTAATGGGAATATCATCTACGACGGAAGTGTTCTACAACTCTGCAATTGACCCTAGTTCACCCATGGAGGCAGATTTTCGTGCAGCTGGATGAAGGCGGAGTTGTAGTGCGGCGGTACAGTTAGATACTTAGATGACAGCGGCGGCTGGTGAGGGACGAAGGGCGCACCTGGGAGACGGCCGCTGGTTGGGGACGAAGGACGGAGACTGGAAGCGGCGCGCAGATCGAGCTTGGGACAACGGCGGCAGGTTGGGGACGAAGGGCGTCACCTGGGAGGCGGTGGTTGATTGGGGATGATGGCGGCGCACATGGCTCTCCGGCAGCTTGACGGTGGCGGCAGGCGGCCGTGCAATGGTGGCATCGTGGCAGGTGGCCGTGCGGCGGTCGTGGGAATTGGGTGTGTGGCTAGAGAGTAGAGATTAGGGTTGGAGAAAATGAGTAGAAGATTAGAGTTTTATAGGCATATTCTAAAGGGTATATTAGTCCATGAAATTTATTTATTTATTTATTATTTTCGAAATTAATTAAAAATAGAATTTAAAATAACATTTTGGGAATAAAACTAGTTAGGTCATAGATTGAGAAACTCATGGAGTTTTAGTCATACCCATGATAATTTTCTCTAGCTTTAATATATAGTACGTACGCACGTACGTAATAATCATAAGCATGTTTTCTTTTGGACTGAAATTTGCTAGTCTGGTTTGTTCTGATCTGATTTGGTCTGGTCTGGTCTAGTAAACGTCTAGTCTCTATGTATTTTATAACTACGGAAGTCAAGTCTGGTCTGGTATGATCTGGTCTGGTCTGGGACTGAAAACAGTCCAAAAGAAAACATCTTAAAAATGACATGTTCCTTTCTACTTATTTCAATCTAAGGATGTTTTCTTTTGGACTGTTTTCAGTCCCAGATCAGACCAGACCAGACCAGACGTTTACCAGACCAGACTTTTACCAGACCAGACTTAAACAGACCAGACCAGATCAGACCAGACGTTTACCGGGCCAGACTTAAACAGACCAGACCAGACCAGATCAGATCAGACCAGAAAAGACCAGCAAATTTCAGTCCAAAAGAAAACATCCTAAGGCCAGACTTGATCATATTCATTATTCAGATCAATCAATCAAACTAGTCACGCTAAGGCAATAATAAAATACTAAATCAACCCAATCACAAATGGATGTAAACAAATAGACTTGTTAATTAAGACCCGATCAAACTTAAATAAGAGTATCTCATGAGAGAACAACAAATTTCGATCCAGATGAACAATTCTCCTTTTTTAAAGTGTCTTCTGCGAATCAAGAAAGGTTCAGCGCCTTATAGGATAAGAGCCCGTTTGGAGAACTCTGTTTTCAGCTTATCAGGCTTATCAGCCAGCTTTTTCACCAAACACGTAACTTTTACTTTCGCGCGCTGAATTGTGTAATAAGCTGAAAAAGTAAGGTTGGAGTTACTTTTCTGGCTGTATTGGCTGAAGTTACTGTAGAGGACCATTTTAGCTATTTTTACATATAATTTTTTCTTTAATTTATTAATAAAATATATTTTTAAAATATTTTTTTCTTAAATCAGCAGAATCAGCCAAAACAGCCACTCCAGCCAGAATATCATAAATTTCAGCAGAATCAGCCAAAACAGCCGATTTTGGTGCTACCAAACGGGCTCTAAATAAGTTCACATTGTGAGCACCCGTACACTTATATCTAGAAAAATGTGACTTTGTCCATATGTAAGTCAACACAAATGTTATAGAATTCCGGGCAGGAACCGCCGATGGCAGCGTTTGGCCACCTTCCCGGTGGCATTTTTTGATGAAACTTTTATGGCATGTTCTCCATCAAGTCTAGTTTATCCACAAAAACATTAAGCCAAAAACTCAACCAGGAAGGTCGTCAAATGATTTTTGCAAGTTAACTGGTCCGAGATATGTATTTTCCGGACCAGTTAACTTGCAAAAATCATTTGACGACCTTCCCGAATGAGTTTGTGGCTGAAATGTTTTGTGGATAAACTAGACTTGATGGAGAACATGTCATAGAAATTTCATCGAAAAATTCCACTCGGAAGGCGGCCAAACGCCGCCGTCCGGACGGCGGTTCCGGTCAGGAATTCCTGACCGGAAGAGTACTCTGTAAGTCAACACAAATGTTCATGTCCGGAATTCCGGACAGGAACCGCCGTCCGGACGGCGGCGTTTGACCGCCTTCCCGGTGGCTTTTTTTGATGAAATTTTTATGGCATGTTCTCCATCAATTTTAATTTATCCACAAAACAATTCAGCCAAAAACTAAATCGGGAAGGTCGTCAAATGACTTTTGCAAGTTAACTGGTCCGCAATATGTATTTTCCGGACCAGTTAACTTGAAAAAATCATTTGACTACCTTCCCGAATGTGTTTTTGGCTGAAATATTTTGTGGATAAACTAGACTTGATGGAGAACATGTGATAAAAATGTCATCGAAAAATTTTACCTGGAAGGCGGCCAAACGCCGTCGTCCGGACGGCGGTTTCGATCAAGAATTCCTGACCAAAAGAGCACTCTGTAAGTCAATGTTTAATCTTTGGTAATGATTAAATATGGACGTAAATATATATAGATATCCAAATATAGTAAAACAATAAATCGCTTTTTATTCTATAGTCACTTTGTACTTCTAAGATATACTTCACGCATGTTGATTCACAAGACATGACATTTAGATGCACTTTTCTTGCACTTAAAATAGATTGTAATATAGTGGTGTAAGTACGAGTATGGTCTCCACATGGACGGACAAAAAGTCAAAAAGGAATCAAGAATTAATTAAATTCAGCGATTAAAAATAAATAAAATAAATGCGTCGTGCGAGATATGATTGGTTGCTGGAAAATTAAACTAATGCAGGTTAACGAATAAAAATAAATTTGGTTTCTTCTTAATTAACGACGAAGGAAACAAGGATTGATTTCGGGGTAACCAGATTTCTGGCAGATCAGGCCTAATTACATGAATTTAATTTAATTGAGCCTAGCTAATCATTACTAAGTTCTTACCGCTCTCGCGGCGTAGAGTACAATAATTTAGGGGACCAGGCTGATCTCTTATGCGACAGGATCCTAAATTATTGCCAAGATGAGCGAGCTTACGGCCCCTTAATCGCTACTAATCTCTTAGCGAACGATTAAGTGTGTGTGAAGGTGTCCTAAAATAAATTAGATCTCTCTTAACTTATTCTACAAGCAATTGTAATTCTAGCGCGCGTTTTAGTTTACAAAAGATATCAGTTAAATTATTCAAACACAAATTAAACGGCATTCATGCAATTAAACCATCAAGAATCTAGTCATACATCATGATTAACCTCTTCATCAACCCCAAATCCCTAATTAAACTACTCACAATTCATAATTGAAGAATCAACAGAATTGGGAAAAATATAATATATTGTCATTAATTAAAAAGATGAACTTACAAATAATCCCAGGGTCTTGGAGTAAACAATCATAAAAACGCAAGTAATTCGTCCCTAGGCCTCTCCGTAATGTTCGTAACCCCCAAAAAGGGTTAGGGAGGCCTTATTTATAGAAAAATGGGAAAAAATGAATTCGGGCCGATTTGGGATTCAATTTCGCGTAACCCGGGGCTACGCACGGCGTGCGTCCCCCCTACGCACGGCCGTGCGTTGCTGGCAGTGTCTTCCTTGCTTTTTCGCCTTCAGACGCACGGTCGTGCGTTCCCCTACGCACGGCGTGTGTCAAACTTCCGAATTTGACAAAACTTCCTTCATGAAAGTTGTAGATAATGAAGTCTGGTATCCACCACAACTTTCCAAATTGGATTTGGATCATTCAATCAAGAGATATAATTAAAATGGTGGAAGGTCTCATTCTGAAATGGCAGCAGGGATCATCTGACTTCATCTTCTATTTTCATCTTCTTCCTCTCAGATTCTCGGAATAATGTCTTAATATGCTTTGTAGCTCTTGAAGATAGCTTTCATGTGGACTTTGAATCGTGTTCTTTAGATGCTTCTACAAAGAGATATGTTTGAACGATTGACAGAAGGTCATACTGAATGTCGTTTTCAAGCTTTATTCATCTTCTTTTGATCTCATAACCAATTCTAGAGCTCTTTTGTCATCAAATCTTCAT